TGAATCGCTGCGAGTCCTTACAATAAGGATGAACATGCGTTTCGTAAAAATCTCAGGAGGGTTTGCAAGGCCGGCGCCAAGTCTTCTTCGGCGCGGACCATCCCGTGCTCCAGTTCGGCAAGCCTCCGTGGCTCAGCCACGACGCGTAAGGATCTTCAAGGACCAAGATGCGCTGATACCGCGTGCATGGCACATCTCAGAACTTCGACCATCACGTTGCAGTTCAGCAGCCTGCGTGGCAGTCATATGGTTTGCTCATCACCGTCGCGCCGGCCACGGCCACGGCCTGCGCAGAGAGAACATGAGAGAACGCAACAAACCCGCAAAGGACCCTTGCGTCGCCTGCCACGTCCAGTGGTTCGAGATGAACACCTTCCTGAGCAGACATGTATTAGGATATTGAGACATATATGCATGGGATGGCAACTGCGGCTGCGCCAAGAGATGCCAAGAGGCTTCCAGTACATGCCAGCTCCGGCATCGCAGTCTGGAGGCTTGTCCGGGTTCTGGCAGCCTAGGCGCGTGCTGCGCATGCGCAAAACACGTCAGACGCCGGCTCCGACTTGCATCTTGCGGCCCAGCGGCCCTTCTGCTCGTTGTCGCAGCACCAGATCTTCTTCTCGGGCGACCAGGCGCGGCACCTTGCGGAGCTGCCGTTCTGGCCGGGCCCGCTCCATGAAAAGGGCGTTCCTATATGATTATACTTCTATATGTGAAACGGACGCTCGGGGCCCGCGCCAGTTGCCCAGGGCAGCGTTGCCTCGGGACAGCTTCGAGCATCATGCTCCGCATCATTCCGCATCCCCCGCCCAAAGACCCCCCGCGCTCTCCCCCACTTCGGCCGGGTTGCAGTCGTAGGGATCCGAGCCCGGGCCCTGCTCTCCGCAGCCCGCGGCCTCGATGCTGCAGGCGCGGCAGACGTCGCACTCCACCTGCGCAAGGTCGAGCGCAACAGCCGCAGGGGCCGTGTGCCTTTCACATCGTTCACGCACCTGCACGGCGCTGTAGGCCAGGTTGCAGGCGTTGCTCTTGCCGTCGTAGGTGTGCTCCTTTCAGGTCACCACAACCAAGACGCATGCAACCTGCGCCGCGATCGGCCCTCCGCTGTCCATCGTCCAGTCGATGCGCTCTTTGCAGGTGCTGGTCTCGCCGTGCAGAGTGCACGGGGCCTCGAGAGACAAGGTGGCCGGGCTGCCATCAAACTGCATGCAAAACTCCAGCTTATAAGTCAAC